GGGGACATTGAGTCCGAGTAGACCATGTTCCGTGACTCTATTGTCGAGGCGGCTCACAGGGGCTGTGGCCGCAAGGTTGTCTGTGCCTGTTGTGGCGGCAACCATCGAACCCGTTGGTGGTGTTAAGAATTAAAAAGATGAAGAACTTGATTTAGCTCTTTAATTAATTCTTTGTCCCGAATTCCTGTGTCTGTGTAAGTGTGCAGAGAGAAAAGAGCAATCATACGACGTCAGACTTCAGATATTCAGAGTTTTATCCAGAGAAAATCAATGCAAGAAGAATGTTACAATAATCATCTCACCTAGAATATCAAAAGTCCAAGACATTACAAAACAGAGACAAAGAACTGAGTAAAAAAGACAAAAGAATAACAGAAGATGCATCCTCCGGGAAACTCTCTCAGCACAAAGAGATTCCAACTTCTGCTGTGAAACAAACCATTTTTATAGACTGCATATTCTCCTCATTTAAATGTATGTATTAGGAGGTGTGTTCTTTTCCTTTGTGTGGGCTGTCTCAATGTTAATTTTATTACCTCCTGCTAAAGCCCCAAAAGCAGATATACGGCAAACCCTTCTCGTATCAGCCGCTGTCCAGTTTGATATATGATTGCAGCTGCAGCGCTATCTGTGCCTCAAAATGTTCCACAAGAAAGTAGTTTGTATTTTTAACCAAGCTTGCACACAATGTAATGCTAAATAATGACTATAAGTTTGGATCTAATAAGTAACTAATTAAAACATGCTTAAAGAAATATAGTTAATTCTAATATAGATAAAATTATTTATAAAAAGTTTTAAGATCCTAGTGAACTTTTGAACCATGCTAAGGAATTTGTTAATTGCCTGGCAGACAGACTCTCTCTAAAGAGATTCTAGGCCTGTTCTGTAGAATCCTCCCTAAGAATTTATATAAGTTCAGAGATTCAGCAGTTGTTTTAGTTTGGATCTTTATCTAAATTTATGTGAATGTAGAGTGTACTTTAACTTTCTATGGTATATTTCATATGTATCAGAACTATCCTGTGCAGTATTGTGCTAATTTAAAATATTATTTCAACAGTGGACACCTTCGGTGAGGGATGCTGTTAGGCTAACGGAGTCCTAGCAGATGATTTTGGCCTCTGGGACTCCGAAAGCAGTTGATGGGTACTGGTGGGTGAAGCGGCATGCGGCTCCTCCCACAACCACTACCCACTCGGGTTTTTGCCTCAGCAAAAACCTGAGTTTTTGGGCTGCCCAAAACTGTTGTCCTGCAGTTTGGGGCAGTTTCTGCCCAAAACAACTGCCACACCCTAAAAACTCGGGTGTGGCAAAAAACTCCCTCAGTTGAGAGGAGTTCGGAGAGGCCATGGAAAAAGACTTCCGCACGGCTTCGAGGCGATTCTGGTCCGCCATCCGGCGACTCGGGAGGAGGAAGGAGTGCAGCACTAACACTATTTGGGCAGAATATTTTGAAGACCTCCTCAATCCCACCAACATACCTTCCATTGAGGAAGCTGACAGTGGGGACTCTGGGTCAGGCTATCCAATCTCTGGGGACGAGGTCGCCGAAGTGATTAAAAAGCTCCTCAGTGGCAGGGCCCCAGGGGTGGAGGAGATTTGCCTGGAGTTCTGGATGTTGTAGGGTTGTGTTGGTTGATGCAATTCTGCAATACCGCATGGACATCGGGGGCAGTTCCCCTGGATTGGCAGACTATGGTGGTGGTCCCCCTGTTTAAAAAGGGGGACTGGAGGGTGTGCTTCAATTACAGGAGGGTTACACTCTTAAGCCTCCCTGGCAAGGTCTATTCAGGGGTCCTGGAGAGGAGGGTCTGTTGGATAGTCAAACCTCGGATTCAGGAAGAGCAGTGTGGTTTTTGTCCTGGTCGTGGAACACTGGACCAAATCTACACCCTCAGCAGGGTCCAGGAGGCTGCATGGTAGTTCGCCCAACAGGTCCATATGTGTTTTGTGGACTTGGAGAAGGTGTTCGACCATGTCCCTTGGGGAGCCCTGTGGGGGGTTCTCCAGGAGTGTGGGGTTCCGGGCCCTTCGATACAGGCTGTCAGGTCCCTGTATGACTGGTGTCAGAGTCTGGTCCGCATTGCCGGCAATAAGTTGGGCTTGTTTCCAGAGAGAGTTGGACTCTGCCAGAGCTGCCCTTTGTCACCGATTCTGTTCATTACTTTGATGGACAGAATTTCTAGGCCCAGCCAAGGTGTTGAGGGTGTTTTGGTGGCCTTAGGATCGCCTCTCTGCTTTTTGCGGATGACGTGGTCCTGTTGGATTCATCAGGACGTGATCTGCAGCTCTCACTGGAGTAGTTCGCAGCCAAGTGTGAAGCGGCCGGGATGAGGACCAAGTCCGAGGCCATGGTCTTGAGCCAGAAAAGGGTCGAGTGTCTTCTCCAGGTCGGGGAGGATGTCCTGTCTCAAGTGGAGGAGTTCAAATATCTCGAGATCTTGTTCACGAATGAGGGAAGAAGAAAGTGGGAGATCGACAGGCAGATTGGCGCAGCATCTGCCGTGAAGCGGGCGCTGTATCAGTAGCACCCGGGAAAGTCCCAGGACACGCTGGAGGGACTATGCCTCGGTTGGCCTGGGAACGCTTTGGGGTTCCCCCAGAATAGCTGGAAGAAGTGGCTGGGGAGAGGGAAGTCTGGGCCCCCCTCCTGAGGCTGCTTGCCCCCGGGACCCGACCCCGGATAAGCGGAAGAAAATGGATGGACGGAATTAAATCTGGATTTCACAAAAGTCACAGGACAATTTTTTTTTCTAGAAATGTTTTATTGATGTTTATTTTTTTTTTAAATGTGAAAATTGGATATGTGAATTGTAGGTTTTAAGATAAAAATGACGCCGCTTAAAAAACAAAAAAACAAAAAGCAGCACTTAGAAATTTGAACATTTTGATAGAGCTTTGGGGGGTCATAAAACTCCATCTTGTTCTAAAATAAAAAGCTGAGAATGTGCCTAATTTGATTGTCTTTTGCAAGATTTGAGTATATACATTGTGACCCCCTAAAAATGGTGATAATATGTTGACAACATTGTCATATAAGAAAACTGATTGTTTTATACTCCAGGACAAAATGATGTTTGCTACAGTTTCAGGTAAAGCTTTGAATGACATGTCCCTTTTTATGTTGGAAACCAAATAAATGAGAGGTTTTACTGTAATCATCTGGATTTGGAACAGATGAAAGGTGAACAAACTCCCTCCAACGTGAAACAAACACCAGGATCACAGCGTAGTTTCCATCTCACAAAGCTTATAACAACTTTAAGACATTTACTAATCTTAACACAAAGGTGGTTGTCTGTACCTTAATCGAGCATTGTGATAAAACAACAAATAGCACCTCACCTATTCCCAATAAAAGCATCATGTAGGAAGTATATCTGCATGCCCAATAATTAATCTATGAGTTAAAATGTGCAGGTTGTGGTTTTTTTATTTTACCCTCAACCTTTATGAACGCTCCACCCCCGGGCCGCTGCTGCTGCTGCCATGCAATACTGTCAACAAGAAATTAAACAACAAAGCTGCTTTGGGGAAAAACAATAATACATTTTTTTTAAAAATTAAAATTACAGCAGATTATTATTAACATATGTTATTCCTCTTTTGCAGAGGCACAGCCTTCTGAAAGGAGTCATGAGGATTTCACAACCTTGGATTTTTTTCCCACAGTCCAATCAAACAATCTTCCATTAGGACTCTGGTTACGCGGGAAAACTTTGGAATGGGCTTACAGGAACAGTAGCCCAGGGCTCTGATTGTTGGCACAAAGTTAGTTTTGTGTTAATTAATGCATATTTTGTTAACTTTGTAATTTATATAAAATTTATAGGCTTAAATAAGTTGAGCTGTCTAAATATTTTAGGATTTTATGAATATAGACAATATTCAAGTATTTTATAATCTTATAGTACATTTCTTTGGAAACAGCATGGAGAGATTGAACTTAGTATGAATCAATTCATATTTGAATGAATGAAGCAGCAAAAATAACACCTTGTTAATGTAAAGGTCTACCTATTAATGCACTGTAATTTGCAGTAGTAAAATATTTTTTCCTTAGTGGTTAGGAAACCAAATTTACTCGAAACCTAAAACCAACTCTGCTGATTACACATATAACAGTTGTCTAATTTACTTTGTCCTTTAAATCTGTGAGAAAACATCGTTCTTCATTAATTGTGCTTATTTTTTTATTCATTTCTTGGAGCGTAGATGCAGTAAAGCACTGAACTATTAACTTCCTCTTCTTCAGTCAAATGCAGAAATGTGTGATTTAAAACAATTACTTTTAAATTTAACAGAAAACATGAACACTAGGGGATTACTGAAGCACAATCTACACCAAAAGCTCTGGGTCATTTTTAAAATACTGCCTTCACTGCTGCTTCTGTGGCAAATTACGACATTGATAATCTGCTCTGACCATAGTACAGGTGCTGTCATCGGTAAATAAGTGTGCAAATAAAGAAATTAGTTCTGTTAAATACAACATTAAGGTGAAATTAATGTAATATTTAAAAATAACATGATTTCCCTACAAAAGCTCCAAACTTGTGTGTCATAGATTGCAAAAGCACCAGGTTAAATACTTTAGATGTGATCAGAGCAGAGAAGCCACAGTATTTATAGTTGCTATGACTACCAGCAATAAACCTCTCCAAACTGTAGACAGAACCCAAAGCATAAGCACACTACGAAGCAGGCATGTTGTTTCTGCTGTGAGGCTCTGCTGCCCCCCTTAGGAAGTCATGGGAGATGACAGTACATGACTAGTTTAGGGCGTGCCACATTGCACAAGAATGTGAAATGCTTTCTGACTCAAATTTACACCCAGGGTCTGCTTTCAGAATGCAGTCTGTCATAGAATGATGAGACAGCTCTTCTTCTGTACATCAGGCTCTAATGTGAGAAGTTTTACTTCCTGTTTCTCTATCTGCTGCTGTAGACAACCTTCTCTTTACATTCTTCTCATGACAATAATACAAAAGAACTGATAGGCTGAACAAAAAATAGTTTTCAGTAAATGACAAATAAAATGTTCTGGAAGATTGGTTGATAGACCTTATCTGTCACTCACTCTGACACACACACAAACACATTTCTTTGTACAAGCTCAAGTGGGATGAGGGTTTGGTGTCCATAGTAACGATGCCTACAGGATGACACAGGGACAGCCACGACTGTTTTGTTTCCTAGTTTGTTGAGTTGGAGGAGGAGGACTCTCCATTTCCTGAAACCGTCTGAATGAGGAAGATGGAGACAGACAAAAACAAAAATGGGATCAGATTCATATTTACACATAAACTGTTAATACTGCATTATGACTGGTGTGTGAGTGTACCTGTAGTCTAATTATTTACATTTGAAGATATCTTAAAGGTGACATATTATACTAACAAGTTAGGATATATCTATGGGCTATGACACATGTTCATTACAGTTTTTGCACAAAAATAATTCTCACACTATGAGATCTTTTTTAACTCATTAATGTTATTATTATTAATAAGGTTTTTAACATGGCCTGTTTTCCAGACACCAAAAAACATCAACGTCTTGCTGGAAAAAAGCTGAATACTTTTTTTTTCACTTTAGTTTTCTTTAAATGGAAGAGCAAAAATATGTAGGAAGTATATTTTGCACAATAGGTTCCCTTTATGCAAGTAAACATGTAAGCATCCCAAATACTGGCCAGTCCAGGGTGACTCAAATGGAGGGAGGCACCAGCACCCATCATGACCCCACTGGGGATAATATAATAGAGAGCGAGAGAGAGAGACAGAGGAAAGAAGGAAGGAAGGAAAGAAAGTCAGATGCACAGACATCCCAAATGCAGAAAGCATCTACCTGATGATCTGCACCAGCTCCATAAAAGCTTCATCCACATTGTAGCGATTCTTGGCAGAAGCTTCCATGTAGTGGATCTTGTTCTCTCTGGCAAACGCTTGAGCGTCTTCCCTGGAGATCTACAGACACACCCAGTTTCAAGTGAAATCAGGTAAGGACTCACAGAACGAAAAGGCCGACTAACACCGTCAAATCTTTGATAAGTCCCTATGTAATTGTGTGAATGAATCTGATCATTACAGCAGACAGGTTAAAAAAAAAGATGATTTGTTAAATGAACAATACACTCAGATCAGTAATTATGCCAAAATGTACAAAAAAAAACATACATTTTGCATTTAAATGAAAAAGAAAACCCTTTGTCTGTAATGTTCTATGAAGAACAAGTGGAGGCTTTAATCCATTAAGCACATTTTGCTATCCAGTTATTCAGTTAATCCAGAAAATGGCCAACAAATCAGCCCTACACAGTGCTGAAGTGAAGTCAAACAGAAATGGTTTTCACATGTTGATGTTAGGATTATTTTAGCTGCAGAGAAATCCTGTTCTATAAATGATCAGCCACAATTCATTTTATTTTCTTTTTTTAACAGGAATCTGTTTATTTGCATATTTTACCATATTTCTAATATTATATTAAGGCTTCATGAAAAGTTTGCAGAATATGCCCATTCTTATCTAATTAATTATCAGATGAATAAATTACTAAAATAATCATTAACTGAAGTCCAACTGCACTAATAATATTTTCCCAGAAGTCTTTGAGATCATCAAAATATTTTTGGGCCTTTGTGTGGTTCTGCTGACCCTCGGACAGGGAGGCCATTTTTGCAAAGTTTCAATGACTTTCTCACATTTCTTCAAATCAGTACAGGATGAGTTGAGATCTTTTAGCCCATGTCATGTTGTCAAGCAAGTTCTATGATGTGATTTCTTGATTCTTCTTGTCATGTACTAATAAGCTTTGAGTGTGGTTTGTGAAACTCAACAAAAAAAATGTGGTTAATCACAGTAAATTCCTGATTTAATGTCCCAGCTATTGTTCTTGACTTTTGACCCATGGGTCTCCATTGATGTTACAACAGTTGATCTGAATGTCAACAGTGCCTAATACAAACCTTCATCAAGCAACCCCCTCACCTCAGAGGGTGGTGGGTTGATTGATGAAGGTGGTTTGCCCAGGGCACCAAACAGGCAGTGACTGCCTCTGCGTACCACTCTATGCTGCTCCAGGTCAGCCTTGTTTCCAACCAGCACCATGGGAAAGTCGTCTCTGTCCTTTACCCTCAGGATCTGGGTGTGAAACTTTTGGACCTCATGAAAACTGTACAGATCACAACAAAAAAAACAATGAGCACTTCCAGTATTTATATGAGCACTGACTTACAAAAAAAAGATGATTAAGTTATGGATTTTAAACTAATAAATGATAGACATGCCCTGTGATGGGCTGGTGACCCAACCTCTTGCCCGTTGACAACTGGAGACATACACCAACATCTCTCCTAACCCCATTTGAGAGAAGCATGAATGATGGATGGATGGATGAAAATAAAATAAAAATATAAAAATAATAATAATAATAATCACTCATAGCTTGATCAGAGGATGGGTTAAACTGTGAAGTGTGTCATTCATAAAATTATTTTAAAGCATCATTGATTACACCTCTGCTTTTTCTGGTGAAAGATTTGCTAAATACTTCCCCAACCCCATCGTGTCTCCATTTCAGGTGTTCATTATTGTCAAGGATGATTCTTGTACAAGTGTTATATGAACAAGTTTTGTTTTCAAAAAGCTACAAATTTTCTTCTGCTTAGTGTACTCAATAGGACTAAGTATACTCTCCACATTCCAACTCCAAAAATCAAGACTAATAAACACTGGGATCAAACTAAACCCTTCAAGGGGTGAAAGCTAACCTCCCCACACAAGAATAGGAACTAATGAAGAAGCAGTTATTTTTTAAACCAAGTGTGTAACACATGTCAGCTGCTGGGCCACAACTAACAACAAAAATAATTATAAACTTAGCAACAAGCTTGTGAGCAAACAAATGTTGAGGTGTAGAGTGCTCTAAGTGGACCTATACCCAACACCTTGAATAACAAGCGGCCCGTAAATCTGCATCTCTCACACTATTTAAACCATGAGGGAAGATCCTCAGTACATAAAAATTTATCTTTGGGATGTTTAAAGACTTCTTTTTTGCATGTTTTGATCGGTCCTGAATTGACAACATGATCCTTCTCTACCTGCTGCTGCTTCACCGAGTAAAACTCCTACTGCGGAAAAATCCTCAAACATCATAATCCGGCCGTATTTGTGCCCTTCTTGCCATCTGCATAATCCAAGCTTTATCTTGAAAGTTGTGAGCTTCAATTCAACTACAAGTTTCCAAATAAAGTTCTAATTCACATTCAAAAATACTTGATTGGTCCCATAGGAAAATTGAATAAAGTACATTAAAGGGTGATCGGAGCTGGTGATGGATGTTAGTGTTCTCTATTACAATGAATCTGAAAAAGCCTCTGACTGAAGGTACTCTGTTTTCTCCAGGCAGTCTCATGAAGAGGATGGTCAGGGTTTCCCATAACCTTTTTGATTTTATGGTGTGCCAAATATTTAGATGCAGATTTGATCCAATGTATAACATATATAATTAAATTTTTAAAAGTTAATATGGAATCTTTTTTCACTTAAAAACAATTTTCATGCTTCAAACTTGAGACTGTAAGTGATTTTTGAATCATGCCGTATTTCAAGCGAAATGTTTTCTTATTATTTTTTACTAGAATTTTTGGTCACTACTGCTGTCGTTAACAAAACCAAACACAACCCTAACTTTTGTCATTTAGATGCTAGAAACACAGAGACAAAAACGCACATCAGGTCATTACCTGCCCCGGTCATTGAGAGCAAACACCAGTAAGAAGCCTTCTCCAGAGCGCATGTACTGCTCCCTCATGGCACCAAACTCCTCCTGGCCAGCTGTATCTAGAACTGATATACACAGAAAAATTTAATTAGACACTGAATATTTTGGCCAAGGCGAGTAAAGTTTTGGAAAACAAGTAAAATACAGTCACCACTGTTAGCATGTTAGCCCTTCAGTCGTTCTAAATCTGGGAGTGTCCTTTATTACTCAACCTTTGGACTTATTGGGTCAGTGTTGCCATTAATAGTTTCTGCTGCAGACATTTGTTCATTTGTGATGGTGGTTCGCTAACAAGAAGACACAGGTGTGAATTTAAAATCTAAATAAATACTAAGTAAATTATTTCCCTCCCAAATGAAAAGTCAAACATGCAAAATGGAGGTAAAACAAACTAAAAAGCAGCTACTGAATACACAAGAAAGAAATCATTCCTGAAAACGCTGCAACAGACCAATAGCATGTGAAGAAGTCAGGGGTGTTTGTAACAAAAGCATCAAGCAGAGCTGTTGGTGCTGTCCACTAGTTTGTAGGCATTTTCACAAAGCAGAGAATTCCTTCTACATTTTAACTTCTTCTTTGCAAAATAACAAAGCTTCTGTTTGGAAAAAAGAGATTCAATAGATCTGAATTTTATCTCCTTAAATGCAGTTTGACAAATCTGAAAATGTGTCGAGTTGCACAAAAAGAGAATCAGATGATGCTGCTGAATAATCGTACAAAATAAAAGCAATTAAATTAAAGCTATAAGCAGTGCTGGCGACCCTCGCCGCTCAGCGTTGCTCTGGCAACGCTGGTAGTAGTAGTCTCCTGTACTATTCCCAATAACATGATTTCTCCATTAACTTAAGAGGTTTACTGGCATTATGACAGGAGATGGATACATTTTTTTCAGTGGGATGTTGATATCTGTAAAAAACTATGTTAAAAAAAAGTAACAAAAAGAAATGTAGTTTCCAACACAATGACAAGAACATCTAAAAAAAATAGAACTGCTACTTTAAATGTCATTCTTTAGTTGAAATTCAGTGTAATTATTCAATAAATAGAAAAAATAGAAAAACAACTAAAAGCTGCATTTGTTGTTAGAGCTATTTAAAAAAAACAAAAAAAACATTAGTCAGTTATTTTTCATTTCTATTCCAAAGACTAACAGGTTGCAAACTCTGGATCTAAATTGACTCAAGAGAATTAATCAGTGAAGGAGCTGGTTTAAATCAAAGTACATTCATGAGTTAGAATGGCATAGTCAAAGTTCACACATTATTTCAACTGAGAAAGTCCACAGATGTGCTCCAACCAATCTGAACAAAAAGTGGTTCAACAAATTAGTGACTCAAATACTACAATACTTTGTGTTGGTCTACTACATAAAATGTATTTTAGTTGTAATGTGGCAAAATCTGAAACAGAGCAAGCAGTGTGAATACTTTTCCTAGGCACAGTAGAGTCATTTTTATGGATTTCTAACAGACAGCAGATGTCCAGAATTAGGATGGAGGTTTATCTGATGATTTCATGAAATGGTGAAAAAGCAGCATGACCCAACTCCCTCAGCTGGCCTGCTGCAAGACCAAACAGGGCAGTGACACACACACACAGGGAGCAAACACACACTGCCCGAGTCTTCCCAGACTGTGGGCTGTGGAATAAAACTGTTGACACAATCAGAGTGAATCAGTGTAATGCGGTGCAGCCTTACTGTCTAGCCGAGTCTCCTTCCCATCCACAGTGCACACCTTGGTGTAGGAGTCTTCGATGGTGGGGTCGTAGTCTGACACAAAGTAGGACTGTTGGACACATTGAGCGTTAGTGGTGGAGCAGTTTACACAGTGTTTCTCCTACCTTCTCTAAACAAAAACATCATTCCATCTTAAACTGCAACAGAGACTTTGCTTGGTCCCATTATTCAGCTGACCAACATTTAATAAGTCAACTGTTGGAGAGCACTGAATGCTGCAGTTCTTTCACTTCAGCCGTGTTTAGTCGGCTTTGGTGGAACTCCACTTTGTCAAGAAAGTCCGGTTTGTTTGGGGATGTTGGGATGTGAATTGAATGCTGGGGTCAAAGTTCCCCCCAAAAAGTGAGCTCCAGCCTAAAAACCCAGGTCTCAGTTAAATTGAAGTGAACACTGGTGCGAGTGATGCATACTAAATCACCAAAATGACCAGAGGCCGCTCCTGAGCAGTGCATTATGGGTAAACTACAAAACCAAAATGCACTAATCTAAAGAAAGCAGTAGAAATTGATCATGTTTTTATTTAACCAAAGACAAAAGAGAAATCCTACAGCCACTAAAATTTGACCCTACTCCATTTTTGCTAACATTTTGTGAAATATAAGTATATTGTGTCTTCTTCAGAGGTTTGCATATCATTTTCTTCAGCCAATTTTGTGGAGATTTTAGATTATGGTGTCTAACCAACCACTTTCATGAAAACTAATTTCCTTCAGGAAAGTGACCATTGTTAGCAGAAAAATGCACTCTGACAAATAATAAAAACATTTCAAGAGGAGCTGAAGAACCCAGTCATGTCTGAGTGTTGATTTGATATCCAAATAAACTCACATCCAAGGCAGTCTCAACTCCTAGGTAATTCCCTGCCTTTCTTTTTGTATCTTTCTACTGAAGAATCCAAGGTAGGAAATGGAGAATAGGATTTTATGGAACACAATGTGTTTGCAGAATGCCAAAGAAAAAAAACAAGATGCCAACTCTGCTTTGAGTCGATTTGGGTTAATGGCATCACATCAATCAAGCTGACCAGCTGGAACTACTAAACATTGTAGTGGAAACTTCCTGACTTATTTTGACTAAGTGTTTTACCCAGTTCATTTTCACTTCATTGTATTTTATTGTTAGAAATTATCCCAAACCCATGTAGTGTTCTCCAACTCCTCACCTTCTGGATGCCACAGTGCAGACTAAAAAAAAATAAGTCTATGAAGAAAAGTCTGGTAACTAGCTTCAACTGGTCTGTGCTCCACTTCATCAAACCAAACCACTACTGTGGATTCCTTCATACATAGTTTGTGATCTGTGAAACCTTCAGTTTAATCTGGAAAATCATGTAAGGAGCCATTTCAGTACATCTCAATGCATTTATATCACTATAGGATATGGATAGAGGATCACTCTATCCATAGTCCAGCTATAGATGGTCTATAGCTGTCCATAGACTCTATCCATAGTCCATAGTCCAGCTATAGAGGGATCTCAATGCAGATCTCCTGGGTTTGATTCTCATTCTCAGACCATTTGTCTTCCTTCTCTCTCAGCTCTACTTCTGTTAATAAAAATAACAGAAATTATATTTTTTATTACTTAAAAAAGCCATTAGAATTAAAACCAATCTTTAAAAACAAATGTGGACTAAATTACTTTGAAGTTTGTGAAATTTTTGCTCTCTCTGATGATTTTAATACTTTCTGGGCATTTGGAATATATTACTCAAAATAGGAACAGAATCGGACTTTTGTGTCCAGGTGTGAAAAGTATTGAGTTTTAGAACCTTGAAATGCATGTCTAGAATACTTAAAAACAGAAAACTAGTCCTTTACTCGCAGTGAGGAACCACAACCTCGCTTTACGACAACACGCATTAGAAAGGGCGAACTGGTCCTTTACTTCCAATGAGGAATCACAACCGAACTTCAGAGCGAACTGGCTTTTATTCCCAGGAATAAATCCCATCCTAACTTCAGGACAATCCTAACGACAAAGCAAGCAGGCCGTTTCTGTAGAGACAAAGATGTACCAACCTGGATAAACTGGATGGTTAGGGCGCTCTTCCCCACTCCACCTCCTCCCACCACCACCAGTTTGAATCTCTCTTCTTCCCCACTCATTCCTGATGGGGAAACTTTCTTTGAAGAATAAAAAGCGTTTCTAGGCCTGGTTCACCAGATCGCGCCCAAAAACCCAAAACAAAATCCCCCCAGCTCTCTAGCGTTAACCAGAGCTTCAAACACACGGCACTTCTATCGCCACAGTTTCAGACTTAAATTTATCGTGCGCATGTTTTTTTCCCCGACGACGTGTTAGCGAACAGAGCCACACCTGGGTACCAAAGTCCTCCAAAGTCCGGCGGTGTAGTTTAGGACCTAGTTTCGTCTTGATAGAGTCGGGACAGAAACAGCTCGGCTGCTGGGTTCTTCCCTATTCTTTCTGATTGTCTTTTACCTCAACCCTGAGCAGCTTCTGAGGGCGGAACTGCTTCCTCTTTAACCCTGTGAGAAACCTGAAGCAGCTGGGCTGAGCTCGCTTGCCGGCGATCTTGCACAGAGCAACAGCCTGTGGTCTGAGTCTGACTTTCCACTTTGAAATGCCTCGTTGATTTGCAGCTCATTAATGCTGAAAACTGTTCCTATTCAACTCAAGATTCATGTGTCACTTTCCTTATTTGGTCATACGGGATGTCCGTGACATCATTTCAAGTATCTAGTACAATCAGCGCGAGCTCGGAAAACTTTTTCAGGGAGCAATGTCATGCTCAAAACCTTTTCTGTCTGCTAAACAAGTTAAGTTTAGCTCAGTCGGTCAAGAGCGGAAACTTTCTGGGTATAGATTTTAAAAGACGAGTTAAATCATGTAAGCTCCATTCAAGAATAATTTAAGAGAAAAAAAAAGCCTACATCGAAATACATGCCTCAGGCTACACAAACTACGTGGACTTTTGCCAAAACGTCACAGTACAGCGCCACCATGCAGTCTAACTAACCAACACTGAAGCTATTGAAACCAAGAAGAATGCATTTGTACCCAGTTACCATTTCCTTGTGTCACCCAGTTCCAACCATTGACTTCAATGTGAAAGTTTAACATTAAATGGTGCGCAACTGTGTTGGATAAAATGGTTCCGTGTTCTTCCTCTGCCTCTTTTATCTGCTCACAAGCTCAGCGCTGTATTCTTACATATCCAGAACATTTAAAACTGGCAACAGTCTTATATCTCACATATAAACAAAACCTGATTAAGCAGGCAAACAGACTCAGAGAGGGAGCAGAAGGAGGTAAAAGCAGAACTTGCGCTATAATCTTTTCTTCACTTGTCGCCCTTTAGGTGAGCTGAGTGGAGCACAGCGCTGGACGCTGAACGTTGCTCTGTATCTTCCATTTGTATGAGTTGCATCGTTTGCCACATTTGATCATTTTCAGCATTAAAGGCCGTTCGTTTTATACTTAACCGAATTTTATTATTTCTGAAGGTAATGACAGTGAGGGTCCGAAACTAGTAAACGGACCCGGGTGAAAATGGGTGAACTACAACAACTGTGCAGAGGGAGGATAATTTTGTCATGCATTTTTCCTCTTATAGGCCTATCCCAAACTAAAACCCAGTGACACCATCTGGGCCGCTTTATTCACGAGCCGGTGGGCAGCCAGGAAGAATAATGACAATTTGATATTTTTCTTAGCAGAGCTATTTCTCTTATTCATCTATCTCTTTATTTACACAGCATCTTCAGAATGCTATGAAACTTAGTAAAAACATCACATAGCAACACATTTATGAAGTAATTTATGAACCAAGTTTAAACTTTATTTAGCAACGGGTCAGAGCAGGCGTGAGGTGCATGTGATGCGTTTTTATGAGCGAAAACAACGAAATTGAGCTGTTCAGACTGCTGTGGAAGCAGTCTATATGGGCAAAAAATAATCTAATTTGTTTGTGTTTGTTTACTCTGAGTACATAACCTAAGATACTAGTTTGGAAGCTATTTGACCAAAACTTGAAAAGCTTTGGGGGAGATCACTTCAATAGCTCAGATCTTCTAGAAGTCTAGTTGGCAAACCTGCTGACCATATGTTAAGAACTGACAAAGCCACACTAAAGAAAGTATAGGCAGCAGTGAAGAATGGTGTGAAATGTGCAAAGTTCAGTGATTTTTTTTAAGAAGAGAAGAGTAGAAGACTAGCACCTATGTAAAAATGGAAGCTAATGTCACCACAATAAGTAGCTAAGCTAAACAACTGCCTGAACTAAATTACATATTTAGGTGATGGCTAGAAATATTTTTTTATGTATTTAAAATAGTCTAAATACAGGAACATAAAGGTTGTTTTTATTTCTATTCTATTCATGTCATGAGGAGTGAATGCTGTAATCCTGCTGGGTATCCTTAAAAAAATATTTGAATGATAAATTGAGTTTAATGCACTGATTAATGACTAAATAACTTGTAATGTATGTATGTATTTACTTTTATTTTTTGTAAAGTCCCCTGAGATTGCATTTGTTGCGAAATGGTTTTATATAAATACACTGAATTTAACTGCCGTTTCAAAGAAGAGCGATCAATGCACAATTTTCAGGTCGTTGTTGTTTTTGCGGCTTGCTAAAGCACATTTAACCAAATATTAGTATCATTTTGAACTGGCATAACTGCATTAAATTTAGAGCTCTAACATATGTTTTCTGTTTTGAGTGAGTTCAATAATTTTCATGATTTGGCTTCAGAGTAAAAGTCTGGTATAATTCCAAAACAAACATATATTTTATAAATAAAAATAAACTTTTATTTTTATAAATAAAATAATTACTAAGCATATAACAAGACTTATTTTACCTTCAGAATGGCAGAACTTTGAGTTAATACTTTAGCAAGATACTTAAGAACAAATTTCATTAGTAAGTCTTTAAAAATGTCAATGCGTTTTAAAACAAGCAGTACAGGCAGCAGGTCAAGTCCAGATAACTGTATACGCTTGATTATGTAGTAAAGAAGATTTTATGCCAGCAGAGCCCTTAGTGTTGTTCTTATTACACTTCAAAGCCTATATTTGTAGTGGCTGACATTTTCTGTTTCTGTTTTATTGCCCAAAAGTAATTGAATTTACACTTGCACTTGGAAGATCACCGTAAAAGATTGAAATGATTTTCGAGATGCTAATGATGCAAATTTAAGTTTTTCCACTAATACAAACATTCAACAATATTGAGTTTCAGTGTGATCTTTTGTTTATTTCAGACTTTTCAAAACTGCAGCAGCTTACAAAGCGAAACATGAGCTGTCGACTGTTACAAGAAGCGCTTGACAAGAATAGTTTTTAGAATCAACTCTTCAATAAATATATAAATAGAAGACAATGGTTTCCTTCAATATTTCTGTAAATTCTGTGTTGTCAGTTTTGTTCTGATGAACAGTAGTAGCTCCGCTCTGCAACCTCAGCACCTATAGGGCAGCGCAGGCTGTCCCATCTTCACTGGGTGGAGCAACCCCAGCAGCACTCTCTCCCCCCAGTCCAACAGCTTGTTCAGAGTGATGCTGGATGGTGATAAGAGGCCTTGTTCCTTCTCTTCAGGTCGGCTGCACCCACCGATACGGGGACTCTGCTCTTGGTGAGGGTCACCGTGGACTGGCGACACTCTTGCCACTGATTGTGGGTGGCTGCTCCCCGAAGAGGGTGGGCAGAATCCCAAGGGCATCAATGAGAGCGTGAGGCTTTTACGCTTCTCTAGGAGAGAAATACAACCTGATGGGAATTGTAGTTGTCTGCACTTTGGTTGAGGTTCTCTGGACTCACAGAGACTCAATGCTGTAGCGTCGCACAGCTTTGGTTGCATTGTTGGTTTTGACACGCTGTCAGGTCAAAGGTCCAAGGTCCTCGCTTGTTACCGCTATCATCTAAGAGCAATTTTCTCATCTGAATTATTGAGTCTTCTGTGGTGGAGTGGTCGCAGTGGTTCCTGTTCTGACTGTGCAGTAATTCGGTCCCTCCGTCCTCTGTGAACGGCTGCTGATTCTCCTGCTGCCTGGTCATATTACAGCTGGACGCCTTCTGGTTCAGGATGCTTTGAAAGTGCTGCAGCTGACCCAGGAAGTTAAAGTTTGGGGAAATGGAGGGCCGACGCTCTTTCACAAACCTTATGAGGGGACAGAGAAGATTTTTACATGTGAGCCCCTGTCTCCTTTTTTATCTGATAAATCATCAGACTAATCCATAGAATTAGCAATAATGTATATCAGTGATATCCATGAGTCAGATTTTAGTTCAATAAATAAATATGTGCAGATGAGAGTCGCTTCTAATTAATATCATAATGATATTAAATATCATGATAAAATTAATATGACTTTGTTGATCATTTGTAAATAGATCAACAATGATCTATTGACATTGTTTTTACAAGACAGTAGAGTTTTGTAAAATATACTGTTTCATAAACATTTACAGTGTTGTTCTTGTCATAGGGGGCAGTCATTGAAAAGTGCGGGATTATAATATATATCAAAGCCTAATATGTTCAGATTTTAGTTAGTAGGAGTGTAAATAATATTACTTATGAATGTAGTTGTGGATTTTAGAGTTGATCCAGTAGTAGATGCTGGTTTTAGGAAAACTTTAGACATTTTACAAGTATGATGTTTATTTCCTTGCAGGATGTGCATAAAGTCAACCGATGTCCTGACAGAGAAGAGGGTCTTCATATCAGAGGAGGGGGTCTCTGGTATGTTTTTATATAAATCCTACATCTTTTTAAGCCAACTATTGTACAAAGTTTGTTACATACAGGTAGTGTTTAAATATGGTTAAAAATCTAAATAAATGGCTGATTACATGACACTACCTGGTGAACTTTTGCATCTAACTAGAATATCCAATATAAAAATGTAGACTATACCACTGGGTCAGAGCTCCTGGTGGACCACATAATGATCTGCTCTGTAAATAACAGCATAATTGAAAAAGAAACAAACAGAAAAAAGTAACTAGACAGACTGCGCAGAGCAGAGAGACTGTGTGAAGTAAAAATTGTGTTATTATTTCTTTTAAAAATTGCATTTTAATTCTTTAGTCATTTAACATTAGTATTGTTTAGTCTGTTAAAACGTATAGGTCAAGGAGTCTCTGAAGAATCAGTTAGATAGGTTTCCTTTTGACCTCTCCTTGGAAAAGTTCCAGTAGGTTGTCAGTGACTAAAATAAGGCACCAGTGTTTGTTAACAGATAACAACAGATAGTTTAGGTAAATACAGTAAGATGGAATAAGCCCTAAGGTCTAACAAATTTCTCCATTGAATGTTACAAACTCAGAGTATGTACAAGGTCTTACAATGTTTTTGGTATGGAAAATTGTTCCATTAGCATCCTAATTTTTAGAAACTTCCATATTTTGAACAAGAAGATGTTTGTCAACTAAATAATTAACTGACCTTTCAGTAAGGAGAGATGCATCCTGTCCATCCTGTGGCTAAATTTAAAAAGTTTTTTTTTAATTGGACTTCTTTTGCCTGCGAACGAAACATCACCAGAATGCAGCAATGGCTCCTGGTTTGAACTTTTGTAAGATGTCTGATTGTCACTCTATTCCCCTTTGTCAGACAAAGGACAGTTTTCAAAACTCATAGTTCAGGCATCTAAAGTAAGATAGTGTGATTTAATTGAAGCTCAAGGCCTGTACCTGTAGGCGTGGTCCAGGTCC